AAACCTGAATTTTTAAAATGTAAAAGAAAACACATGGTTTGGTGTAATTTCCTCAACCTTTAATGCCTCCTACTGGTGGGGCGCACAGGACAACCCCTTTTTTTAAAGGGCTGTGCTATGGGTATATAATTGTACTCGTAGGGGTGTGCTAGCCCTTAAAAAAATCAACTTAAAACGAGTGCTGAATAAACTCAGGGAATGGTTTCCTATGCATGAAAATTGACTAGAAGAGTACAAGCATATTTATGGATAACCTAAAACCAAATTTCAAATAGTACAAGCATATTTATGGATTACCTAAAACCAAATTTCAGCTCATCAGCTTCAACTACTTGGATCATGAAATACCCTAATCCCCGCGAGTTAATACGAAATTGTTTGCACAAACAATAAATTCCGCAACTGTTTCCGCCTAACTATCAATATTTATTCTAGACACCAATCCACCCACCCAATCTCCATTCGGGGAAGTTTTTTATTATATTCATTTGCTCGCTCGTTTGCACAACCCACACGCAATAAATTAGCTAAAAAATCCAAGCCTTTTGTTGTATTTGTTGTTGAGTACTATTCTACTCTCCTAGAAATTAACTCCCATCAAATTCTTAGATCCGTCACCCATGGCGGAGTGTATATTGGAACAGCTCAAATCCCAGCACACGTGGCTTTTTCCGCTACTAGCACTCGGGTTTTTATCGCTATTCAAATGTTCATTCACCATTCTGAATTGGGTCTACGTGAATTTTCTCCGACCCGGAAAGGATCTCAAGAAATACGGATCTTGGGCTCTGGTCACCGGCCCTACAGACGGCATAGGCAAAGCCTTTGCTTTTCAGTTGGCCCGGAAGGGGCTGAACCTGGTTCTTGTGGGTCGGAACCCGGATAAGCTCCGGGAAGTTTCGGACTCAATCAAGTCCAAACGCGAGGCGACCCAGATCAAGTCTGTGGTGGTTGATTTTTCGGGTGATTTGAATGATGGAGTAGGAAGAATTAAAGAGACAATTCAAGGACTGGATATTGGGATTTTAATCAATAATGTTGGGGTTTCTTATCCTTATGCAAGGTTTTTCCATGAAGTAGATGAAAAATTGTTAAATGATTTGATTAAGGTTAATGTTGAGGGCACTACAAAGGTTACTCAAGCTGTTTTACCCGGAATGTTGGAGAGGAAAAGGGGGGCTATTGTTAATATAGGGTCTGGTGCTGCCATGGTTATCCCTTCTGATCCTCTTTATGCTGTTTATGCTGCCACCAAAGCGTAAGTATAATTTCCGTAATGTTTTTTTTATTTTTTTCTTGTTTTCTTGTTTTTTTTGGTGGATTTCTTTATGGTAGACTGGATTTTTAGGAGGATAGAGAAAATTAATAAACATGAAAAGATTTGGCCTTTTCCCTTTTCGCTGGTTTGGGAAATTCTGATACAGGTCTAGATTGTTTGTACACACAATTTTCGGATGCTAAGATTCAAGTTTTTGGTCGGTAAGGTGGTAAAAGATAAACTGAACTTTGTAGACAAATTGGAACTTACATACAATTTAATTCAGAAAAAGAAAAGTAGGGGTTTGTTGTCTTTACCAGATGTTTTCTGTTTTCAATTTTCCAAAACAGTGAAAACGCATTCTATTTTGGAAAACGGTTTTTGAAAATAAGTTTAAAATTTACAAAGAAAACCCAAAACGATAATTTGTCGTTTTGAGTGTTTTCAGTTATAATCGAGTCAAAAATTTCAAAAACGCGTTTTGGGTGTTTTCAAAATGTAAAAAAAAAACACATTTTCAACAATCTCAAAATGAACACTCAAAATGCAAAATCCAAAATGAATTCAAAACTCAAAACACAAAATTGAAACACAAAAAAAACAACCCCTAGATATTTTCATCCATTTTTAAAACTAGTTTTTTCTAGGGAGCTTAATGATATATTGACGCACGATATACATGGTACTTTTGATTGAGTTGTAAAAGAAATTATCCTGACTGACCAGCTCTGTGGATTTGTACTTATGGATTTAAGTTACTGCATCTTGTTACATAACAAGAGATTTAGCAAATTATTTGAGTCGGGATAATTATGGCTGTGCTCATGGGAGAATATAAATGGTCTATTTTGTTCTGAACAACATTAGTTTACTTTCAGATATATTGATCAGTTCTCAAGATGCCTATATGTGGAGTACAAGAAAAGCGGGATTGATGTGCAGTGTCAGGTATCGCTCTGAACCCAGATTCAGTTTGTTTATGGGTGTAAGAATTAATCTGAGTGTACAGAATTTCGTAAGCTTTCTGTTACCTGTTGGATGCTCGTGTAGTGGAATAGGGATGTCTTCCTTGCATTAACTTGACTTTACATGGCCACTTTCTTTTTATGGATTAAAGCCTAACCCAACCCGAGACACAATGAGGAACAAACTATAAAAAAAAGAAAAACACAAACAGTAACTTAGACATTTATGGTGGTTAAATTTGCAGTCGAGGGAAAAAGAACAGTAATTACTAATTAGGCTCCACACTAGTCAATAGTCTTTCATTTATCCTTCGAGGTGAATGAATCTTTAATATGAAGAAATGAATGAAGCTTTGAGTTATGAATAGACACTGTACTGCGCAATTTATCTTTGTTCTATTCATTTTTTATTTTATTTCAATTCTTGTTGTCCGATACTTGTGATATTTGTCTTAACTTCAAATTTATCTAAAATTGAATAGCTTATTTCTATAAATTAAATCCTCGTGGGTTTTCGGCTGGAGAACTATATTGTCTCGACATGCCTATGCTCTAATTTATTTTGTTGGACTGTATGGATCCTACTTGTGCGGTGGGGGTGGCATTTTTTGTGTAGACAAGACAGGTGTGTGTCATAAAACAGTATAATCTCCGTCATAAGAGTGAAAAATCTATACCGATGAGTGGATGTAGCACTCATAGTGAGGGTGAACCACTGTAAATCTACATGGTTACTTTGCGTGTTTCTGATTTCGATTTATTCATTATATCCTTTGAAGTTAGGGATTAAGGTTTAGTCTATAACATGTTTCCCAACAGACTTCATGTTCCAGCCTTCTGCATGGAAAACCAAAATATGGATTTGGATTGTAGTTTGAACCCCGTAAATGTCTGAAAGACAAGAATTTTATATGGAAAAACACTGCAACCTTGATATAGTGTAATATTCTTGCTGCATCTCCTAAACTGCCGACTCTTTGCAACCAGAAAGTTCTGGGTACTGGAAATCTTCTCTTGTATTCTTCAGTTTCTTATTATTTTATAAATGTAGGTCCCCTTGTACGTGGCAACAAAAATGGCATCCATCAAACGTTCCTCCTTCTTCGTACCATCGACAGATGGTTATGCTCGGGCCGCCCTTCGTTGGATAGGCTATGAATCACGATGCACACCGTACTGGCCCCACTCTCTTCTCTGGGGTTTGCTATATTCCTTGCCAGAGTCTATTGTTGATGCTTGGCGTCTGAAGTTCTGCCTTGGGATTAGGAAGAGGGGACAACTCAAGGACTCGAGGAAGAAGGAATAGAAGTCCTGTTATAATCTCTCAGTATGTGTTGCTTTTTCTAAGGGTCTATTCAGTTCAGGACGATGTTTGAGATTTGGGAAATTTGAGGAATTGAATTAGAAACTAGTAAAAAGATCCATCTTTTTAGTGCTTTAATGTAATTTGTCTTGTTATGAGATCGTACTTGAGTTCAGCCGACGATAAGATACATAGGTATTAGCTTGCCTTTTTCTCCNTTGAATTAGAAACTAGTAAAAAGTTACATCTTTTTAGTGCTTTAATGTATTGTCTTTTTATGAGATCGTACTTGAGTTCAGCAGAAGTTAAGATACATAGGTATCAATATTCTTGTAACTCAAAGTTCTTAGCTTGCCTTTTTCTCCTCAATATGTTGAAGCGTGCTAATTTTCCTTTCTTGATACATCCTTGAGGCGATTTTGGACAAGTCGGATTTAGAAACGAAAACTAGCCTGGGACTGTCTCCGATCCGCCCATGATATGGACATTGGCCCTAGATTGGCCTTATCGGCCGGGCTGGTAGTTGTCTACCAAATCTAGGCCTGTCTAGTTTACAGGGTGGCCTGGTTGGCCGCCTCTATCCTGCTGCAATTGGGCGAGTTCGAACAAGTTATGCTCCTCGTACTCTCTCAGGAGATAGATATGGATGGGCAGGCAGAATCCACATAATCTAGGTAAAGCGATGGAAATGCCCTCTTCATCTGAGCATGGTGCAATATTGCCTCTAGAGTTTTTAAAGTCACAGCGAGGAGAGATCTAAAACCGATACTCACTTGTCAGTTGACTACACCTGTCTATATTTGGCCTAATCACCTATTTTACTGAACCCTTGTGTGTTTCAGAGTACAAGCATAACTTCTATAAATTAATAATCTCTACTATAGATTTTCCACTCCAGACATTGGACCTATGGGATAAATTGATTGATTTGACAATCCAATTCTAAACACGTCAGGTCAGGATGATGTTTTCTACATTAAAAAGAAGAAAAATGATCTTCCAAAACGTTCTATCCAAATGAAAAATGAGCAAACACTTTCTAATGGTGATGTGAATGTCTGAAAAATTGTCCCACCAAATAACTGTACATCACTCGAGAAGTTTTTTTCAGCCACCGGCATTCAATCATAAGGGATGGCAATTTGAACTGTGAAAATCGAAAATCGCGGTTAACCGAACTAAATGGGGCGAAAAAAATCGAACCG